CCATGTTCCCAAAGGTGTATCTGTGGTGCAAAGGGGTCTGCATCCCTCTTCTAAAGCGGGAACCCCATTGCTGGGGCCACACCTCGGAGAAAGGGCTCCTGCCTGCTCCTGGCCTCCTGCCTGCAGCTGGAAGTCGGTGCTTGCACCCACACACGCTACTCCCCCGCACAGTGCTCTCCAGGAGCAGCACCTGGCTTGCCAGTCCTCCCCTAAATCTCCCCCATGCTGTCACCCATGGACTGTGCACGGCTGCTGGTGTGCAGAGACTGGTTCTTGCCCCATGAGCATCGCAGCAAGGGGAAACAGGGGCTCTGGGCTGTGAAAGCCGCTCATGGGCAATGTTGCCACTAAAGTTCATTCAGGGGAAACCTTGTAGGTTTCATTGTACAGATGGGGGCACTGAGGCAGAGAGGGAGTCAGGAAAGGGGCTGAGGAAGGAAGTCTGTGCTTTGGCGGCAGACGCTGATTTCAGTGCTGAGTCCCAGGACAGTCCCGCAACCACAGCGCTGTCCTTCCTCTGGCTGAAAGAGAACAGGGCTGCGTCCCATCCTCTGGTCCTGCCTTGGCACTCCTGGGCTACTGCCACAAGCAGGGTCACGCCAGCCAGGGACCTGGGAAGCAGCTCCTCTGACCCCGGGCTGGGATAGCCACTGTGCAGGGAACTGGCCTGTCCCCGGGCTGTGCTGCATCTGGGCTAGCCTGAAAGCTGGATGTTCAGCTGTTTTGAGCATGCACAAAGCTCTCAGGGGTTAATATGAGCTCATACATAGCTTCACGTCCCCAAAGCTGTGGTCGCAGAGGTGTCAGAGCCACCAGCATGCCCGTCCCCCCCCTGGCAGCCCCTGCCCTGTATGGCATGGCTGCTACAAGGATCCTTGTGGGATTTGGGAATGGCAGGGTGAGCACTGGGTCTGGCTGCCAGAAGGGGCATGGGAAGGAAAGGTATTCCCTCCCCTCCCCCAATATATGGGCCTTTCCTTCGGACACAAATGTGCCTGCTTGTGCCCCATGCTCCCTTGCACAGATGTCTGCCCCTCTGCTGCCCTCAAGCTTGGTGTTGCCTGCAGCCCTTGCAAGAGAATGGTCGATGCTAGCAGAGCATGAGCCCGTTTCCCACCACACTGACACTTCCCCACTTGCTCAGCTTTTAGTGCCTTGAAAAGCTGCCATGTTAATGCGGTACCTTCTTTGTTCTCTGTCAGATGCCATGCAGTCTTGGTGGCATGACACTCCTCTGCCAGGCCTGATACTGGCTGCTACTCAGTCTGTTCAATGAGACACCCTCTGCTTTCCTGTGTGTCTTGCTGACTGGCATGGCTTGCAGGTCTCTCCTTAGAAACTGTTCATGACATCCTGGCTCAGCCATAGGGTTCCCCCTCTGAAGACAGCTCTCTTGCTGTGGCTGCAGATGCCCAGGGCCTTGTGCTCACCCTGGGGCTGCCTGTCCTGACTCCATGTGCATCCCCGTCCCACCTCTCCCTGCCTGTCCTGACTCCATGTGCATCTCTGTCCCTCCACTGCCTGCCTGTCCTGCCCAAATGTGCACTACCATCTCAGCTCTCCCAGCCTGTCCCCAAGGCAGTTTGGCAGTTTGCTGGTGCTCATGCCTCCTCCCTTCCCAGTCTCCCACAGCAGCCTCTGAGGGCTGCCAGCGTTGCTTCAGCCCTGGCAGGCATCCAGGGGCCATGGTCACAGCCTTCGCCCTGAAGATGAGCCAGGTCCTGACGACCCGGCCAGAGAAGGAACAAGGGGACCTGTCAGGACCCCGTAGCACTTGGCACCAGCAGGTCTCTGCCTCTCAGCTGGCACATGTCCCTCAGGTTGTCATGTGCATCTGGACTCCCACTGCACCCTTAATCCACTCCCAGCCATGCTGTCACCCCGTGCCTTTACCTCCTCCACCGCTAGGTCCCACAGTTCCCCGCCACCACTCCAAAGCAGACCCCCGTACCATGAAGCTGGGCTCCTCTTTGGCTCCTGTATGCCGGGTGCTCTGCTCCCAGGGTTCATCCCCAGAGCCCAGCACTTCTTCACTAAGAGAAACTTTGCTGGGCAGCGGCTGAGGGGCTGCCTGCAAGGAGCAGGAGTGAAGGACACGACACTGCTCCAGGACCCCTCACACAGGTGACATGAGATGGGCAGGACTGAGTGTGCATCTTGCTGCTGGTCCAGAGCTGCCCCCCAGCCTTGCTCTGCGCCTCAGCACATGTGAGGTGGGCACTGGTGCTGGGGTGGCACTGGTGCTGGCAACTGCTCTGCCCTGTGCCCACGGAGGGCAGGGGGACGTGGGGCTGGCCCTGGCAGGCAGCCTACCACCAGGAGGCTGGGAAGGGACTAGTTGGTGCAGTAACCAGGACAGGGACCTGCACTGTTTGCTATTGAAGCGTTGCTGCGTTTGGGTTCAGGGAAGTGGCCAGGAGGTGTCATGCACACAGCATGACAATCTTACCTGGCCCCATCTACTCTGGAGGTGTTCACAAGGCTGTGGGCCAGCACCTGCCTCTCTCTCCATCGCCACCCACACCCTACAGCACCCACCTTTCTGCCACCATGTCCCAGCCAAACGGGTGCCAAGGGATGCTGAGCTCCCTGTGTCGGGGGCTGGCTGAGCTGCCCTCCCCAGACCAGGGTCAGCTCCAGGACACAGCAACACCCAGTGGCTCCTCTTCCTGCTCAGCCTGCCCCCAGCAGTACTCAAGGCCCCATGTCCCCATCAGGATCCTGCAGCTGACCCTCCGGGACCAGGCCACCAGCAGGGCCACCCAGCCACAGCAGCAGCGCTGGCAGCCACTGCCCCATACACATTGCTACGTGCCTTCCAGCCACGCAGGCTTCACGGGCTTCGTGCCCCGTGCCCCGTTCCTGATCAGGACAGGCTATCTGATAACCACCAACCAGACCCTGCTTGAGTTTAGCCAGATGACCTCGAAGAAGACTTCAACAGCTGCAAACCCTGTAGCAGCAACCCCAAATCCAGCCTCTGACACCCTAACCACCCCGCTATGCCTCCCCTGCATCCCAGGCTGCCCCAGCAGTGAGCACCCAGCGAGCCGCTCCGTGTCAGTGCCAGCAGCACAGGCCGCTGGAAATCCCCTCTTCCACCCTGGGGCTGACTCAGCACCCCACGGGGCTGTTTGCCAGCAGACGGTTCCCTTCCCCGTTTGGGCCAGCCCGTGCACGTGGGGAGAACACCCTGGCCCTGTGCAATTTGTAAACAGCCCTGACCACTGCCCCCCCTCTGAGAAGTTAATTAAAGCAGCCCACGTGCAAGCTCTGGCTGCTCCATGCCCCTCCAAGCCAGGACAGGGGCTTATGCTGCTTCATTTCTGGATTTTTTTTCAACTTTTTTGACTCACTCCACCACTGCAGACCATTTGTCCACGTGGTTGCAACAAACTCCAGCGCAGTGTCCTTGCAGGAAAGGCTGGAGCCTCAAGCAGCACTTTCCCTTCTCCTGGGAGCTACTAAGGTGTAAAGGGAAGGGATGGGCTCTGGGGCCTCATTCCTGCTGGACTTGGAGGTCCAATGCTCGTGCGAGTCTAAATTTAAAAGCCCTGGAGCCCTTCCTTGTAAGTGATCCGCAGCCACCAGGCCTCATGGCCAGGTTGTCCGAGGCTCTGGGTTCCAGCCCCACAACCTGTCCTTCACCGCCTCCTTCCTGCGCTGCTCAGGACTTCCTCCCGCTGCCTGTGGGTTACAAGTTCCAGTCTGGCTGCACCCATGGACACCTTACTGCAACACCTGGAGCACCCTGGGGAAGCAGATGCCAGACTGAAATGGTGTGAACTCCTGTCTGAAACCTGCTTGGTCCCCCGCCAGCATAGACAAGCAATAAAGACAAGGAACCTCGAACAACACTGCCTCCCTGAGACATACCATCATCTGATGATGAGATGTAGTCCCCTGAGCCTGAACTGACAGGTCTGATAGCTGGGGGCAATCTATCTCCTTCTGAAGGTCTGGTGTTGGCTGTGGTAGAGGCAGGACGAAGCCTGCAGTGCAGTGTCCCAGCACAGGTAACCATCAGACCCTTCCCAGGGACAGGCTTGAAATCACAAGGCTGCATAGCAGGGAACTCAATCAGCACCTTTTTTATTAATATGCATCATAAATAAAGAAATAAATAAAGGCGAGACACCTCATTCTAACGGGGAAATACAAATTAAATATGGTGCAACGTCTGCTAAGCAATGTACAAGCAGGAGGTAACCTTGCAAGACCAGGGCCCCTCGCCATGGGGAAGCCAGCCCAGGCATGATGCTGCGAGCAGTGTCAACCCAGCCAAGGCACCAAATACTGGCATGGCCTTTCATTAACACTGTTCCCCACTTGATGGGCAGGTGAAGATCCCCACCCCAGTGGGGGGCATGAACATGGCAAGGAAGGGGTTGACTGGCATTGCCTATACCGAGGACCCCAGGACTCCCAGCAGCCCCTTGTGCTCATCACAACACTTGTCCCCCCCACCCCACGGCACTGCTCAGCAAGACCAGAAACCCAACGGGAGCACCACTTCTCCCTCCCCAGCTCCCCGGCTCCCTCTGGGAGCACCCCTCAATCTACCTGCTGGGAGCACTGCCCCCAACTCCAAAGAGCACCCCTAGCCCAGTCAGGGACCCTGCCCTCACCCCCTCCCCTCCAACCCCCTTCCACTGAGCATCCCAGAGCTTCCCAGGCACTGGCTCCCTGCTGAGTGTGGAGGGCACAGGGCCAATCCCCAAAGCACCCATCTCTGCACAGGGTGGCACTACCCATCCCAGACCTACGTAACACTGAACATCCACGCGCCTTCCTCACGACCCCACGCACCCCTTTGCTCTGCACACACACACATATCCCGTCCCCCTCCCCTGGCTGGGGGCCGGCCCACCCCCCCCCCCCCCCCGCCGCGGGGGCCCG